TATTTCCCAAATGGTCCAAGGACCCAAGCAGTAGGGTTATGGGGCCCAACTACTACTACATTAACGTTTTTTGGCCTAAAACCCTATTACTTGGGTCCTTGGACCCTTAGGGTACCCTAAACCCTAAACCCTAGAGCTTTTAGGGCTCAGGGTTTAAAGCTGAGAGTCACAAATTTGGAGTTTCCATAGATGAGGGCACCCCTCATCTAGCCGGACATGCAAAAGTGCCTACTGATGAGCCCCCGACCCACCCAATTAGGTCTTAGGGTGTGGGGTGCAGGTTGCAGGTTCAGGCTCTAAACCGTCAACCCTAAACTCTGAGTCCTTTCGGCCCCGGAAAGGGCCCTAGACAAACCTAGAACATCTACTGGTTCTCGTTGGCCCTTTAGTTTGCTTTTACTCTTTCCGTGCTGTGTTCCAGCATTCCTGGTTTCTTGATGTTTGCTTAACATCCCCTAAACCCTAAACCCCTAAATCTCTCTGGTTCTCTCTCTCTCTCTCTCTCTCTCCCCCTCTGTGGTCTGTCGGTCTGGTCTGGTCACGGTCTGTCTCCCTACTTCCCTCCCTCTTGCCCTCTTTGGGGATGACGAAGCCAACACCGAAACAAAATGATGTCGCCCTTTTACCAACATTGCTTAACCAACGCACGGATTCTATCTTACTCTGTATTGTGGACATAAGTAGTGACTTGAGTAGTATCCACCATAATGTTACTGCATAACTCCTACATAACGCAGTGCTCCTTCCTTTGCTTTCTACGGTTCTCCGCACTTCTACATCATCCCAATAAGCCTTGAACATGCCGAAGCGATACTGGGGATTGAAGACTACAATATCCCATGAAAACCCTAAAGCCTATAATCCCTAAACTCTAAAAACCCTAAACCCTATAGTCCGAAAACCCTAAAATTCCTAAACCCCAGTGAAACCCTCATTCCTAAACCCTAATCCCGAAAGCCTATATCCTAATCCTTAATCCCAAATCCCTATATCTGGCTTCTGGCAGATCCTGGCCTGAAATGGCAGAATGTGATTGCGTGACACCTCGGTGAGCCAATTTGATCTAAAGCACAAAGGGTATACGGTTTGGGGTCCAGTGTTTAGGGTTTAAGTGTTTACGGTTTAGGGTTCAAAGCTTCGGGTGTAAAATTCAAAGCTTCGGGTTTAGGGTTCAAAGCTTCGGGTTTAGGGTTCAAAGCTTCAGGTTTAGTGTTCACAGCTTCGGGTTTAGTGTTCAAAGCTTGCGGTTTCCTAACCAACGCCCACCCCCCATACAACTTCCCCCAGGTCCCCGCTGAAGTAGTGTCAGGGACGTATGTGGGAGTGGGTAGGAGAATCCATCTAAATGGGATTTACCTTCCTCTGAAACTGACATGAAGCCGCAGCGTACTCCTGTACAGACTACTGTCCTTTTACATGGGGAGTCCGATATGGGCCTTCCAGATTCTTTTAGATCCTCGTTCTATCTACATCTGGCCATTCTACAAAAATCACAGATCCCGCAATCAAGCCAAGGTGGGCCTCTTTTCCATGTAGATCACAAACCCTAAACCCCCCAACAACAAATCTTAAGGTACAGTCGGGTGAGGCCGTCATGATTTGCCCAGTTTTCTGGATCCCCGAAACACCAGAAACAGATGCCTTTTGAGGCATCCCCAGGTAGCGTTTAGAGTTTAAGGGTTTAGGATTTGGTGGTTTAGGGTTTAAGATGATGGGAGTCACATTTGGTATTCACGATCACGTTTAAGCCAGGCAACAGTTCGATTCACGGCGAACTGAACATTGGCCATGAACTGGTCAAACCTCGGTAAACCGTTTGGGTTTAGGCTTGAAGTTTCATAGAGTTTAAGGTGTCAACAGGTCACCCTAACCCCTAAAATTTAGTGTTTAGAGTTTAGGATAGAACCTTGGCCCTTATAATGGCTTCCCTCCATGCCCTGGCATATGACCTATGCATACACATATACATGTATGTATATGTGTCACCGTGTGTGTATGTAAATATCTATACCAAGACCCTCCCAGGACCCTTGATTGGGGATATATGGCCCCTAGTAGTGGGTACTTAGGCCCTCTTAGGCCCTACTGAAGGGTCTAGGTTCGGACCACAAAGCAAACTCCACGTTTCATTTTGGCTTGTGGTCGACATGTAACTTATCAAACGACTGCTTAAGGAGGTCTGAAAATGCTTCCCAAACATTGACCCAGAAGCACCATCATCCGGCCGTCGATGATTTTGACCTGTATGCAACTATTCGCAGAGTTGGGAAAGTTTATCTTCAACGTGTTTTGTCCCACGTTCACCAAACCATCCCTAAAACCAAAATCCTAAACCCTTGCCCAAGAGCTACATCCAGCCCCTTTCTTTTTGGCCCGTGGACCTGTTTAGGGTCTACCTGATACCCAGAAAGTATCTAGAATAATGACCTTTTGAGCTATGTTTAGAGGTGTTGGGCGTAGGGTTTAGGGAAGAAAGTGTCAGCCAGATAGCAGCAATTTCAGACGTCAGCTGGCCCATGAAATCTACGCCAAACCTGCGGGTTTAGGGTTTAGGGGTTTAGGCTTAGGGTTTAGGGTTTGTATCCCTGAAGCTGGGACCAATTCATCAGAAGCTTCCCCAAAGAATTCGATGCCACTCATATTTTGGTCGCTGGCCCTAAGCAATCAAACTACCAACCTGAAACCTCAAATCCTGAACCTTAAGCCTTACATCCTGGCCGTCAAAACCCAAAGTAGCAACATGAGGGCTTCAGGCGAAAAGCACTGCTAGGCAGTCAGATTGCCCGCTTGAGACACCCGAAGAAACTAAGGGTTATACAGCAACAATGAAAAAGAAAATGGAAGCTACCATGCATGGCTTAGGGTTTCGAGATGATATTGCCCAAATAATGGAGAGTCACAGGGAAAACAACATGGAGAACTGTGGCTTTTTAAGTGGTTTGTAGGAGTTCTTACTGTTGATGCTAAAAATCCTGCATGAGCTTAGTCTTTTCTAGTACCAGAATTTCCAAGGTAGAGCACACAGTACGTAGGGTACACTCCCCCAAACTAGCATGGAAACCCATATAGCCCCTCTTTAAAAGGACTGTCGTCTTTATAGGGCCCTTTTTGAGTTTCCATGTTAGTTTCCGATAGGGTAATGCAGCACGTTTGGCATCAGCCCTATGGGGTCTCGCAACCCCAACACCTCCACATCACACGCCACTCATCATGGAGACGCACACGCTTTCCTAGACCCTGCTGCCACCCCCTATCAGGCCTAAGCACCCCCCTATGAGGGGCCATACAATATATCCCAACTTCAGGGTACTTGAAAGCTTTTACACCCTAAGCCCTAATCCCTATAAATCCTACTCCCCAGTTCAGGGTACTTAGAAGGTCTTGGTTCAAATATCGCAGAATGCTTGCTGAGGCTTTGGACGAGAATCCCAGCCAGCCACGCTCCGATCCTTTTAGGGCTTAGGGTTCCCTAAAAGTCCAAGGGCCCAAATAATAGGGTTTTAGGGCTCAAATACTATAATATGAATGGCATTGGGGCCCTAAAACCCTATTATGTGGCTCCTTGGACCCTTATATAGTCCCAACATATCCTTATATATCCCCCTATAACCCCTTTAAAGGGACCCTACTATTTGGGTCCTTGGACCCTTAGGGGTTTAGAGCACCGCGACTCGGCGCTTTTGTAGAGTTGAGTTTAGGGTTTAGGGTCCCAAGGGCTCCTGTGTATCTCCTCTGTGGATGGTATATCCTAGTCCCTAGTGAAAAACCATAACGGTTTAGGGTTTAGGGAAGTACTTTGAGGCTCCAATTGCTTTCTGTCTACAGGAACTTAGAGGACAGTGGGGTGTTTAGACAAGAAACTACATCATGTGGGGGTCTTATCCACCAAAAGAGGGCTCTGGCACACGTTGCACACTAGAGATACAAAGATTGGTAATGGCAGAAGGCGGGTGATAAGTTAGGCTTCTACAGTTTCTCATTGGCGCTCCAGGTAAGGAAAGACCATCGGGAACAAATTGATTAACAACTGGGCGCGGGACTTGTAGAAGCGTAAACGTGCAAGGGGTTCCGTGGGTCATGCTATGCCTCGCGTGGAAGCATTTAGGGTTTAGGATTTAGGGTTGAGTTCCTATGGGGAGCACCGGCCCCCACAATCTATGCAGTCCAGGCGTAAGGGGTTCTGAGCAAACATTCAATCTGGAAACCAGGCCCCTAAATCCCACAAGGAGTGAAACTGCGCTGTGTAAGAAGTGGGCTGTGCCTCAGAAACTGCGACTATATCTCAAATTCTGCACGAGCTGCCTTCTGGTAGTTGGCCCACATATTTGTGTCGCCAGTGAACGGATCGATGCAGAGGATTGGTACTCGCGGCCTTAGTACTCAAGGGGACCCCAGAATTGTCGACCCTGCCGGACTGCTAGCAAGCAATCACACTCACGCATGCAAACCCTAAACCCTTAAACCTTAACCGCTTGGCACCATGGAAGGGATCTGGTGTGAGCTACATCCCCAAGAAAGGTGTTCGGAGCTTTCCATCTAGCTGGCATGGAGCTTGTATATGAGCAAATCCCAAACCTACGTGCTAAAGCCGAAGCCCAGTAACCTGAAGCCCATTCTCTCCGTAAGTAGCATGGGACCCTAAACCCTAAACCGCTTAAACCTCAAACCCTGCTTAACAGGACAGTAGTTCTATGTCAGCTTGGGGGGAAGCTGATTCCTCAACTTCAGATGGTGCCCCCGGGCTCTCTCTCTCTCTGTCTCTGCCAGCGTTTAGGCTATTCTTTGGCAGCATTTAGGGCTTTGGGTTTAGGGGCGAAGCTAGACCCCCTCAACCCCCTGAAGCCTAAACCCTCAAGACTAAAACAGACATACAAGTACTGACGGTCTCGACTTCCTTCGCGTATGATGCTTGCCCAGAGCACCTCTGGTAGTTGTAATCAATCCGCCATCCCAAGCCCCAAACCCTAAACCCTAAATCCTAAACCCTAAACCCTAAATCCTAAACCCTAAACCCTAAATCCTGAACCCCAAACCCGCCACCTTTAACCCCAAATCCTGAAACCTAAACCCTAAATCCTAAATGTCCCAGGCTGCATGTTTAATTCGTCCAGGACCGTCGCCATGTGGATGGCAGAATGGCCATGCAGTGAGCCAACCTAACGGGATTTTAGGGTTTAGGGTTAGAGCTTTACAAGGGTTTATAGGGTTGGATTTAGGGTTTACGCTTTGGATTTAGATTCTACTATAATGTCTGGGGTTAGGGTACCCCTCACAGTTGCTACCCATGTTTAGTAACTGCTACTGCACAGGGGAATGACCCTACGTGAAATAACGGCCCAAATCCAAGAGACAGGGCCAAATGACCATTACTCTACATACATTTAGGTCCTAAACCCTAAACCATAAACCTACGTAGCACTGACTAAGCGTTTACCCTTAGGTACCCATAATAAGTGTATAAGGGAATTCCAAAGGGTTAAGGGTCTAAGGCCCAACCTAAATCCCAAGGAGAAACCTAGGCTTCAGGCAGGCGAAACAGAATTAACACCATACAAGATTAAGGTTTTAGTTTGGGTACTGCCCCCACCCAGTAACAGGCTATATTAGGGGTCCTATTAAGGGCTATACATAACCATACTAGTAATATTATCCAACTGTTACTGGGGGGGGGGGGGCAGTCCCCAAGTTTTAGTGCTCTGGGTTTGGGTCGGGAATGAACCAGGAGGCCATAAGAACTTTTATAGGGAGTTCTGCGGGGACCATGAATTAACCCCTAAACATAGAGCAGACCCTCAAGTCAGCGTTTTTCCAAGCACTATATAGGGAGCGTCTAACCTCCTGGTATCCCCTTAATAACCCGTATAAATTAGCCTATAATACTCCCCTATAGAATCCTCTATGACCCCTTTTAAGGAGTTCAGACTACAACTCATATGGGCCTATGGCTTAGGACTTAAGCCTTAAGTCTTAGAGTTCAGGGAGTCCTTAAGCGGGGCTTTGGCCAAGGGGGGTAGGTACTTGGGAACCTTAGGGAACCTGGTGGAGGAGGAGGGAGGATGGGGGAATGTTGGGGATCACTAGGATTTAGGGTTTAGAGTTTAAGGGTCTTGGGGTTAGGGATTGGGGGAGGGAACCCCCCTCCTTTAAGGATCTGGCAAATGTACCTGAGAGTTTACTTGTGGATGTATCAACCAAGGGGATCACGGGAGACGGGTATGTAGGGGTTGTCAAGTGATCCGAGGTCTTGCCCTGGCTACATCACAAAAACGTCTGAGGCCTCACATATAGAGCGACTGCGTGGCTGTTTTGAGCATGCTTACATTTCGCCAGCTTGTAGTCCCCCTTAAGTGGATAGAATATGGGGTATATGGGGATCTTATTATAATATGGCCAAAGCCATATTACGTCTACTGAGGGGGGACTATATATTCTATTTGGGTGTGGGGTATTCAGCTGCCTGGGACAAGCTGTAGCAACAGAGGGTTGGGATTCCAGCCGCATGCTTTCACTAAATACAGCCCTAAACGCCAGACCCCAAACACCAAAACTCTGAACCCTAAATTCTAAACCCTAAACCCAGTCCAGGCCTCTACCACGAACTTTGGCATACCTCGCCAGAGATGGAGGAATTCACAAGGGAAAGGGGCTCTGGCCTCAGCAGAGGCTACCACTTTGAGATCTATAGGATTATAGAGAGTATAATGGGGTTATTCAGGAATTCTATAGGGATAGAAGGGAATTGAATTTAGGTTTTCCCCGTTTCATAGTGTCCTGTACACGATAGAGATTCAATGGACAGTCTGTGCTTCTGCCTCGCAGCACTCTGAATTTGACATCCTGAGTATGAAAGAAGTTTGTCTACATAGGGAGGGATCTTCCTGTTCAGGAGCCTTCTGCTTAGCTCTGCCTGTAGTTCAAAACAAAGTCTGAGGCCTTCAGTTTTGATACTTGCCCGCAGTTATCCCAATGGATCTGAGTATACATCCAAACTTGGGAGCCCTAAACCCTAACCCTAAGGGTCCAAGGACCCAAATCATAGGGTTTTAGGGCCCAAATACTATAATAGGAATGGTGTTTGGGCCCTAAATCCCGATTATTTGGGTCCTTGGACCCTTAGGGTAAACCCTGGGACCAAATGCTCTGGTCTCAATGGTTTTGAGGCCAGAGCCGAAGATTTTTACTTGGGATATGAGCTATAGTCTAAACTCCTAGTAATCCCCCCTAAAAATGGCCCCTAGCATGGAGAATCAAATGGAAAAGAACATGGAAAATGAAATGGAAACTGGTGATTATATAGGGGATTATAGGGGTTATAGTCTAAACTCCTAGTATCCCCCTTCATAAGCCCTATAATCGTCCCCTTTGTTACCCCCTATATAATCCCCCTTTAAGGAGTTTAGACTATAGCTCATATATGGTGGTTCTTAAGCTCAGGGATCCCTGCAAGTTGCGTCTGCGACAGGTTTATGGGTGGCCGTCAAGATGATGGTATGGTCCCTCTTTGGGGTTAGGGTTTAGGGTTTAGGGTACCCTAAAAATTAGGTGCCGTATTCTAATAGGGATCCGAAAAGGGACCATAATTTTGACAACCACCCATATAGGTTCCGTGTAAGAAGGAACCCTACAGCGACACCGCACTGCAGAAGAGGCTACAAGGGTTCAGGGGCTTGGGAGTTTAGGGGTTTAGGGATTTAGCGAGTTTAGGGCTTAGGGCTTAGGGTTTAGGGGTTCAGGGGTTTCGGGTTTAGGGATTTAGCGAGTTTAGGGTTTAGGGCTTAGGGTTTAAGGATTTAGTTTTTACGGAGCTCCTTGCTGTTTTGCTTGGTTCAAAATCCAAGGAGCCCTAGACCCTCAACCCCATGCCGGTTGAGGGTTTAGGGCTTAAGGTTTAGGACAAAACCTGGACACCCCCTACCTGAGCCCCAAAAATGTATAGAATAATGACCTTCTGAACTATTTTTGAGGGTATCGGCTATTGCTTTACCTACTTTGGGTGTTCAGGTAAACCCCAATACCTAGACCCCGAACCCCTAAACCCCTGAAGTAAGGACTTCTTGAAACTCTTGTCTTTTTATTGACGGACAACCGCAGGGAGCTTCCAATGGGGGATTACGCATAGGGTCTATATAAGGGCTGTATGGGGTTTAGGGGCTGCGGCACGGTTAGCTATGTTAGAAGTATACAAGGCTTATGTGAGGTTCCTGGAAAGAAAAAAACAACCCCTGAACCTAAACCCTGGTCCTACATCTAAGGAAGTATCCGGTGGCTGTCTCCTTCCAAGCCGAATCTCTTTCCCCTAACATTAAACCCCCTCACTCCCCTAACTTAAAATCCTCCCCATATACTAGAATATATCACAATGGTGAATATTTGATATTAGGGGGTGGGATGGTTTAATATTACCCCAAGGGTCCAAGGACCCAAATAATAGGGTTTTAGGGCCCAAATACCTTTCATATTATAGTATTTGGGCCCTAAAACCCTATGGAAACTCTGAACCCTAAACCCATATAGGCCCTACATCTTGGTAATTTTCCACCGCAACCGATTAGCCTTGTTTTCTGGTGGTTGAACCCAGTACGATTACACTCCTTATAAGTAAAATACATACTCCAAAGGAGGATATAATCCTACTCTATATTGGGGACCAGGGTATCCGCAAATAAGATACTACTCCCTAAACCCTAAACCCCTACACCCCTAAACCCTAAACCCCGACACCCCTAAATCCTACACCCCTAAACCCCCTAAAACCCTAAACCCCCAGACACGTCCTCATTCAGCCAGCCCTAGTCTTCAATCCGAGCTACCCTCCGGCATCAGCATGTCCAGAACGTTCGTGAAAAACCTCGGCCCGCAAAGCAAGCCCGACGGAACTTCGGGCTCTACGGGTCCAGGAACCCAAGTAACCCTAACCCCTAAACCCTAAATCCTAAACCCTGAACCCTCAACCTATATATATATAATATACTCAGAATGTTTTTTTGGGGGGCCACCTGAAGCTCTTCCATTTGAGTACGTGAGCCTCAGAAAAGAATAGGTTTTTTTGTTTTAGCCACGCAAAACTATAATCCTGATTGTTGGGACCCGCCAAAACGCACCTCTTTTTTTCAGAAACCCTACCTAAACACCAAAAATAGCCCTACAACCCCTAAAAACAGCCCAAAAGGCTATAATTCTACATACCTCAGGGGTCCAGGTAAGCCCTAAGCCCCTTAAACCCCGTTTCAGGGCTCCTGACAAACCTCAGCCCACGAAGCCATGAGGCCTGGTCGAAGCTCCAATTTCCAATGAGAAACGAGGCTTAGGGTTTAGGGGTTTAAGGTTTTGGGTTTAAGGTTTAAGGGTTTAAGGTTTAAGGGTTTAAGGGTTTAGGGTTTAAGGGTTTAAGGGTTTAGGGGTTTAGGGTTTGGGGTCCAGGGTTCAAGGGTCAAAAAACTGATCTTCCTCAAGACTAAATATGACAGTAGCTGATATGGGCATTCGTCGAATCAAATGTCTGCCTGAAGAACTCCCGAAAAAAGGATCCTCATTGCAGCGAGACTTTTGCAAGGGGCCCCATTTTTTCACCCTAAACCCTAAACCTAGACCCTTCTGGCAGGTTCCCGGGTTGCACCACATAGGTACCCCTTAAAGACATCGAATACGGTGTATGGGGATCTTATGATGATATTGGGCAACTCCATATTCTTTTTGCTGCAGGGGGACGGTAATGTTTCATAGAAGGACTTAGGATTTAGTGACAGTAGTCAGTTAACCCCCCCCCCCTTAGCATTAAACACCCGCTCCCGAACCTTTGACACATCCCCTAAACCCTCTAAGCATCCTCTATCGAGCCCCAGTATCCACAAATAGTGCCGCACCTAAACCCTAAGCCCTAAACCCTATTCCAGGGCCCTTGTGGGTCGAGGACAACCTGAATCTCTGCAAACGGAAGCCCCAGACTCCAATCCCTACAACCTTGAACCCTAATCCCTACAGGGGTTTAGGGTTTAGGGTTTCACCCAGATACTGAAGCCCTATGAGCCCTAAAACCTAATCCCTAACAAGACTTACACCCCAAAATCCTCAAAACCCTTCTGCCAAGACCTGCCTAGTACCCTTTCATTGGGAATATATGGCCCCTGATAATTAGTGGGTACTTAGGCTTTAATAGAGGGTAGGAGGGTCTCGGTGTGGAACTTGCCTAAACCCTAAACCCTAGACCCTGAACTGGGTTGCTGTTAAGGAACTTAAACTAAGTTACCATAATGAGTATATATATAGTAAATAAGAGGGGTTCCAATATAGTAACTTAATTTAAGTTCCTTAGCAGCAACCCAGTGAACCCTAAACCCTAAACCCTGAACCCTAAACCCTAAACCCTGAACCCTAAACCCTAAACCCTAAACCCGCACTTTGGCAAAGCGGCTCCGGTTTGAGGTTCGAGTGCGGAAAGTTGGAGAACGTCGGCCGGATGCCGTACCTGGGCTCAAGAGCAATTTGGGTTTAGGGTTTAGGGCTTAGGGCTTAGGGTTTTGGGTGTAGGGTTTAGGGTTTAGGGCTTAGGGTTTAGGGTTTAGGGTTTTGGGTTTAGGGAGCAATTCCTGGACCCTGGATGTCCTACCTCTTTGGGGGTGTACCCTACAAATTTATGGGACATTAACCCCCAAAAAGGAAGGACATCCAGGGTCCAGGTTTGTACGGGGCTTCATGTTTCTTTTAGAGAGATGATCTAGAGGGTATTTAGGGTTAAGGGTATGAGGGTTTAGGGTTGAAAGTGTAATGTAGACCCATGATTAACAACCCCTCCTTTTAAGGGCCTTAATATTAGGATCCCGATTATGATCCCCATTAAGGGGGAGGAGGTTTAGTAATTAGGGGTCTACATTAGGGTTTAAGGGCTTAAGGGCTTAGGTTTATAGGGCTGAGGGAGGATGACTTCTTGTGCTGAGACTTGTTGCCGAAACTATGGCAGACCCTCCAGAAGGGAAGATACATGCGAGCTATAGTCTAAACTCCTAGTATCCCCGTTAATACCCCTACAATACTCCCGTATATAATCCCCAATCTAACCCCTTTTAAGGAGTTTAGGCCATAGCTCGTGTGATGGGATGGGATTGTCTGGGCTATGAGCTTAGATACGCCTAGCGTACAATTCTCAAGACAGAGGGTTCGATTTTTCCGATTGAAAGGACCCCAGGTTCCGAGTCCAGGAAAGGGAAAACCCGCAGTCCTAAATCGTGTGCGCCAAGGGACAGATTGGGTATACTAGATGTAAACTGGAAGGGGGATCATTACCCTAGCTTCCCAAACCCTGAACCCCTGAACCCTGGGTAATGTTAGGGTTATACTGGGGTTCTATTGGGACAATAGAAAATAAAATGGAAACTACTATTCAGGGTTTAGGGTTCAGGGCTGAACCCCAAAACGTCAAACCTTCAATGCCAAAATCCTCCACCCAAAATTCCACTATCCCTGTACCTTATAAGACATTTGCAGGAAGCCGGTTGGAAAAGCTGACCACAACGTGCGTGGAGTCATTTCCTAGGCTGTTCAGGCCAAACATAAGGTTTCAGGCAAGGTTTGCCCTAAGGCTCTAAGGACTGATATTTTCAGGCTTTTGGGCCCAAAGACCATGCTAGAAAAGGCTTTTGGGCTATTTTGAGCCTCAAGGGTAGGGTTTGGGGATCAGGGTAAGGTCTTCAGAATTTAATTCAGGGATTTGGGGTTTGGGGCTTAGGGATCAGGGTTTGGGATCTAGGCCCTGATTGCAGGGTTATATACTCAAAGCACAGAGCCCCGAAACAGGGTAACGGATTTATGGGGTTTATAGGACTTAGGGCTAAAGATGTATTTGGGGTTGAAGATAAGCAAAACGACACATGAACCATAGTCTACAATCCGTATATATAACCCCCTTTATAAGGAGTTTAAACTACAGCTTACCTCATGACAGCTTCTTACAATAATCTACATCGCCCCGCATGGGGCCGCCCTGCTCTCCTCATGATTGTTGTATATCCTGGGGTGTCCAAGGGTACTGAATTTCAATCCCAAGAGAGGAAAGTCAAGACAAATGTCCCATTTACTTCATGGACTTGGGTTCCTATTAAGTTTAGGGTTTAGGGTTTAGGGTTTGGGCTTCATAAAAGGGACTATACTAAACTACAACAGGACCCCTTAATCCCTAGACTTTAATCCCTAAACCCTAATCCCTAATCCCTAAACCCTACCCTGTTCTTGACAGTAGCTCATATGCCTCTTCACGGCCGAGCTGCCGTCTTCCGGCCAGCGACCGAACAGTTCCGAATGCAGCTCCTGTCGAACAGCCTAGATAACCCTAAGAGTCCAAGTACTTAATAATCACATACTTACCCAAAACCTGTACTAAAATCACTATTACCTAAAATCCAAGTACCTAATTATTGGGTACATGGACCCTTAGGGTAACCCTGAGGCTCAAAATCGCTGCACAAAAGCCTTTTATAGTATGGTCTTCGGCTTCAGAGAGGTTGTGGGTAAAGCCTAATCCTTAAACCCTAGACCCTAAACACTAGTCCTACACAAGGCCATAGATCTGCGCTGTGCCCTGATATGGGCGAATTACAGTCTAAGCTCCTTGAAGGGGCTTATCTAGAGGATTATATAGGGTTCAGGGTTTCAGGCTCTAAACTCCTCAAAGAGGGTTATACAGGGGATTATGTAGGGGACTCTTTATAGGGGTTGTTCACAGGATGCTAGGAGTTTCGACTATATGGGGGGTCCAGGTCGGGTCCGTAGTAGGTATTTTCCAAAAGTTTCGCCAGGCAGGGTACACCTGAACCAGGGCCTACAGCCTTCAACCCTGAACCCCATCTCCCTGAAGCCTTGCCCTAAGCTTCTATTAGGATTTGAATTTTGAGGCTTTAAGGTTTAGGATTTGAAGGGCTCATATTTGGAGCCCCTTGGGCCCCGAACTCAGAGACTACCTCCCAGACTGCCATCCCCAAACCACAAGACCCCAACAGCCCCCATACACACATACACGTGGTTATACATATGAGATGTACATATATACGCACATTTGCATTTGTCATTGTGGCTTTTTATGGCTATGTTTTATAACTTGGTTTCTACTGATTTCACTAAACGCATTAATATGGTTCTTATCTAGCTACAACTATTTTCCATCACTATGCTTTTACAATATGATTCCTGTTCTTTTCAAAATAACTAGGGTCTCCGGTAACATTGGAATACAAAAAGGCACTCTTTCGCAGTAGAACGGAACCTCAAAAAGGGGAACACGGAGCCTACTGCCGAATCCAGAGCATGCGAACAGATATGGCATTTTCCAGAAATAGGGTGCGCCAATAGAGACCGTATAGATACTATGGAGTACAATCCTTGTTACAGCAATCTCCAAAACGGATCCCTAATACCCGCATATACTTCAAAAGAGAGACCCTGGGCCCTTAACCTGAAACCCTAAACCTAAAACCCCCAACTCTAAATCCAAATCCCTAAACCCTAAATCTCTAAACCCTAAACCCCTAAATCCCTAACTCCCTAAATCCCATAAACCCTAAACGCTAAACCCCTAAACCCTTAATCCCAGAAACCCTAAACCCTAATTCCCTAAATCCCCAAACCCTATATAATCCATAAATCCCATAAACCCTAAACCCTAAATCCCAGAAACCCTAAACCCTAATTCCCAAAATCCCTAAGTCCCTAAATCCCAGAAACCCTATCTTTATTCCTTTCTCCGTCCTCGAAGCTCGGAGCTCGTCCCAAGGCGAAAGTCCATAAAAGTGCCAGCAGGGCCCAGCGCGAAGTCATGGGATTCCGCAAGGGCAAAGGTTGGGCTTTTAAGGGTTTGGGGTT